CTAAGGCCATATTTTCCAACTACCAATCCTTTTTGTTTCGGACTTTTGCATTCCAGTAGCCAGTAAATATCAATGCATCTTGATTGCATGTTTGATCAATTTCAGACTGCAGAAGTTTGTAAAAGTCTTCAATTCATCTTTGGCCTTAGTGGTTGGTTTGTAAATTTGAATTAACTGGTTTTCCTTGTAGGCATAGGGATATTATCCTATCACTGACAGTGTTGTTCTTCAGAAAAGATCTTGAAATGTTCTTTTTGATGATGACCATGACACGATTCCTCTTCAATTTGTCATTCACGGCATAGTAGACCCTATGATTTTCCGATTCAAAATAGCCCATACCAGTCCATTTCAGCTCACTAATGCCTGAGATATTGATCTTTATGCGTTCCATTTCATTTTTGCCAACTTCCAGTATTCCTAAGTTCATACTTTATATGTTCCATGTTCTAATTATTAATGAATTTTTCAGCTGTTTCTTTTCATTTGGAGTTGTGCTACATTAGGAAATGAAGGTCTTGAAATCTTGACTCCATTCACGTCATTAAGGTCAACTCTACTTCAAGGAGGCAGCTCTTCCCCAGCCATATTTTGAGCGTCTTCCAATCTGTGGGGCTCATGTTGCTGTAGTATATCAGACAGTGTTCTGCTGCTATTCATAAGGTTTTCACTGGCCAATTTTTTTAGAAGTAGATAGCCAGGTCCTTCTTCCTAGTCTTTCTTAGTCTGGAAACTCCACTGAAACCTGTCTACCTTGGATGACCCTGCTGGTATTTTAAATACTGATGGCACAGCTTCCAGCATCACAGCAACAGACAAACCACCACAGTACAAAAAACTGACAGAAGATGGTGGTCCAGGTCTTATGAATCTGTCATATTAAGGAGTTTCTCTAAGCTATAAACATGTGTTTTGTTTGTTTTCTTTTTAGTAATAATAAGAATTTTTTTAACCTGGTAAATCACATCTGCTGGCAAATTGTAAAAATAGCATTTTAAACCATAACAATCTCTTATTGTCAATATGAAAATATGCTTAAATAATCCATGAAATTCCCATTGAGAGCAAGAATAGAAAAGAACCAACAATTGTAAGTCAAAAATTAAAGGTCCAAGGGCCAAATCCACCTTTCAGAAGTGTTTGTTTTACCTTGCATGATGTTTTTTGCCTGTTTGTTCTTTGCTTTTTTTAAATTTTTTAATGGTTTATTTGCAAGTTTTTAAGATTTTAGGTATTTCATGTGATCTCATTAAAAATGAAATTTTATCTGGTTACCCTGGGTTAAAATTCCCATAGGGTATTATGAAAACTGGTGTGATTTAGACTGGATATTGCAGATTTCCAAATATTTTTGTCTAGCTTGCTTTATTCATTTATATTTGTTTGTCTGCCCCCTTAGGTACTTGAGGATTTAGTTTCTTGTTGTAGTATGTATATCGTATAACAGATGCATTTACCAATTCCGAAGTTGTTTTCTAATAAAACTTCGAGTTCTCTTGCTAAAATGCACATCTTTCTCAGAGGCAACTTTACAGTGTGCAGCCCTGGCTTCTCTCAGTTGCTACTCAATGCTATCATAGTTCTTTGCTTGCCAACATATAGATGGAAACTTTAGGTGGGATTTGGGAGAAACTTAAGCCCTATCTATCTAACGACTGTTCACTTCATTAGAGCTAAGTGCATGACTGTTAATGTCACAAGGAGGATAAAAGATACTTTTGTTCTTTGATCTCTATGTGTCCTTGACAATTTCAACTAATTGAAATTTCAGTTCACATTTGATTTCAACTAGCATCTATATAGAAATGCTCCACAAGAAGCATCAAATAATGTACCAATGAAGGAAAAATTCATTGTTGAATTATTGTTCCTTTTTCAATATATTTAACTAATCAGTGAAAGAATAAAAAAGTAAAACAACAGTATTTTACTATCATTGATTCTATTCCCTATGTTATTTAAAAACCTTAAAATGAGGTATATTAAGTTTCTGAGTTTTATTTAAACAAATACCAATAGCACGTTACTATGTTTGGGAAAAATAAATATGTGCATCAAGGTTTGCTATCAATGGAAAATTCTTATATTCATACTAATGTTTGGAAACAGCAAGATCAGCTGGCAAGAAATCAAGAGTGTCTATCATTTGATGAAGCGTGGGTTGCTTTTGTTTGTTTTCATCTTGAGAATGTTGGGGAAAATATTGTTCTTTTTAAATAATTTATTTTATTTTTATTGTTGAGAATATACTCAGCAAAACATACACCAATTCAACAACTTCTACATGTACAATTGAATGACATTGATTACCTTCTTTGAGCTGTGCAACCATTCTCACCCTCTTTTCCTGAGTTACAGTTTAGTTGATATGGTAAGCTGGCCATACAAAATAATATTCTTTCAATATTGTTCAGGATGAGAAATGGACTAGCACAAAATATTACTCGACTGGCTCCCAAATTTTCTATGTTTGAAAGTCTGGTTTTCAAGTAACCACCCCATAAAGTCTTGTTTATAATTGTACTTTTATTCTTATATCAGCACAAAATTTGATTCAGATATGACATTTCTAATTGAAAAACATTTTTGATAAACTACAATTTACTATTTAAATGGTGTTTATTTATCAATAAAATCTTATTTGCAGGGAAAATGCATGGTTAATCGGATTAACTATACAATGTAAAAGTGACCTTGCAGCTGGTACTAGGTTACATATAGTCAATCAATGAAAACTGGGTAGCCAATTTAGATGGATTTATTTATGGTATTTTATTACTTGTCTAAGAGACCAAAAGCAACAGGTTATGCGTTTATATTATATTAAGAATGTTCTCAGTCAGGTTTTAAGCTCCCCAGATTATCCAAACATATATTAAAAGCCCTTTGTTTGAGACTAGAGCCCTGGTGGTGCAATGGTTAAGCGCTTGGCTGTTAACCTAAAGGATGGCGGTTTGAACCAACAGCTCCTCTGTGGGAGAAAGATGTGGCAGTCTGCTTCTGTAACGATTACATCCTTAGAAATTCTATAGGGTAGTTCTACTCTGTTCTATAGGGTTGCTGTGAGTAATGGTTATTTTTTTTTATATTTATGTGAGAAGTGCTTAAGGATTCGGAAATATAAGTAGATGATAGAGATAGATGGATATCCTTAATCCTTATTTCAGGAGCTTGCATCTATTTAGGAATGTAGGCCACATTTAATAAGGTAAGGTGACCTAATCTGAGTGTCCAATGAGGGTTCAAGGTAGACAGTATAGACTGGGCTAATCCACTGATACGCGAAATGATTGAGGGGCAGAATTTAAACAGATCATTGGCTTCACAGTAGTACTTGGAAGAGACAATAGGAAAGAAACTGAGAAGCAGAATTTTTTTTAGTATATTTGAAAATTATTGTACAGTGAAAGTCAAATACTTGAGTTCAAATTATAGGAAACAACACTAAAAATATAGAACAGCTTTTTCAGAAACAACACTGAAAAATGTTGTACAGAAGCCATTTATTTCTACATATGAGTAGACAAAGGAGTATATTAAAGAAACAGCATTCCAGCTTGGTTTGGTAGAGCTCCAACTTTTCAATGGGATTCTTGCCTCTTATGATTCTACTTATCTTTCTACTTTTAGCTTGCCTACTATTTTTGCTAAAAAAGTAACATTAAATTAGTGTTGCTATATTAATCGAATAAAAACAAGATACATAGTGTTTTCCCTATAAGGCAGAAATGTTTTCTGACCAGGTGGCACAGTGATTAAGAGCTACAGGGCACTACAGCTGATAACCAAAAGGTTGGCAGTTCAAATCCACCAGCCGCTCCTTGAAAACCCTATGGAACATTTCTACTCTGTCCTATAGGGTCACTATGAGTCAGAATTGACTCGATAGCAACGGGTTTGGTTTTGGTTTTCTTAGCAAAAATTAAGTTTTAGGTATAGATGTAGGCACACTAAAGTAGAAAAAAAAATTATAGACCACATCAAATGAAAGCTGAAATATTTAGTGTTTTCCTATAAGCAGAAAAACACTCACGGATAAATTTGTGAAGAAAGATGGTAGCTGAAGTATGTGTGTTTTAGGAAAGAAGATTAAACTTCAGAGGCTGTTTCTGGGTGGGAGAAAGCAATACGACCAATTCCCTGGGACAGATGTTGAAAGGTGTATGTAGTTCAATTTTTATTTTTTAAATGCTTCTGGAAAACCAATGAGAAAAGATACTACTTATTATGTAATACATAATGCAGATGAGTATCTACTCCCTCAGAATAAATCCTAAATTTCATTCATGTTGTTGCCTACAGTGAAAAGAACATTTCTCCCCAAGGCATAGAATGGTAAACAAATAAACAACCAAAAACATCTTATGATGTCAGGCCATAGGATCCTGGATTTATGAGTTAATTTGCCATTTTTAAATAATTCAAGTCTGTACAGACCTGTGTTTATTATTCATATCAAGTACAAAATATGAGTGACTGCTTATTATTTGCAGAGCATTATGTATCCTGAATATAGTTTGTTTAATCATGGTTGTCCTAAATAATTGCATTTAATCTTGGGAAACAGAATTTTTCCACAACTTTCCTAAAAATAGAGGTTAACCATTTGATCAAAGCTCTGGTTTCACTGTAGAATGATTCCCTGACATTAACTATACATCCTTATAGTCTATCCATTTACATTTGTGGATTCTTACTTACTGTTTTAGTTATTTTCCAATGCTCTGATCTGAGATACCTTTTAAAAGGAGACATTTCTTTCTTAGAAACAAAATTCATTTTACCCTTCAAAATCTAGAAAGGCCATTGCTTTATTTATCTTGTTAAACTTCTACTTTCTATCTTTTTCCAGTTGGCTTTTTCTACTGAAAATAAATATTGGCACACTTTGGAGCATTTGGAAAAGTCTCTGCCCTTTCCTCACATTTTACATGCTAACCTTTAATTATGAAATTCTGAGTTTCTTGAAGTAGTTTATAACACACTCTATCCTTTCTTAGGTTCTCCTTATCGAGATAAAATCACCATAGCGATTCTTCAGCTTCAAGAGGAAGGCAAGCTGCACATGATGAAGGAGAAGTGGTGGCGGGGCAATGGTTGTCCAGAGGAGGAGAGCAAAGAGGCCAGTGCCCTGGGGGTTCAAAATATTGGTGGCATCTTCATTGTTCTAGCAGCCGGCTTGGTGCTCTCGGTTTTTGTGGCAGTGGGAGAATTTTTATACAAATCCAAAAAAAACGCTCAATTGGAAAAGGTAAATGTCACTCTTTTACAATTAAAAACAATTATTGTGATTATAATAAACCAAACAATTTTTTATTTTTCCAACCAAGGGTAAAGCTTAGAACTGTGGCTGTTCATTGTCTTGTACCATTCATTATAAAACAATCACAAAAAGGACTCTGTATCACCATCATGGTTTTAAATTTGATCTCAATATGCTTAATTGTAGCCAGCATTCAGGACATGTGATGGTTTCTCCTCTTACTGAAGCCTGAAAAAAGAGAAGTTCATTGCAGTTAGTTTAATGGAGGAATTTAATTAATGAAGGAAGCAAAAACCAGAAACTCTAATATGCAGGGGTAAATACTTCTCTGCAGATAAATAAGATTTTAAGAGAAAACTGGTTAACAGTTTCAAGTTAAAGAGTAAGTGAAGTTTTTTATTTGAAAAATTCTAGTCTAATAAATTTCCATTTGAAAAAAGTAACAGCTCACAGTATGAAAATCATAATTTCCTACATTAATGAATATCTAAAAAAAAATTTGCCATTTAATATTATTCTTAATGAGTCCTTTTTTCCTCTGTACCAAAGTGTTTTGAAGAATGTTTATGAACCTCAAAAATATTAACATCATTAAAATTTTTCTTTTGGTTTTAATACATTTAGTCTTTTTTACAAATGTCTTTGTATTCTGTTCTTGAAAAGTTTGCGACCTCTTTCAGAATCTACATTTCTGGTGCTATACCTTCTTCATTTCTATAAGTATGAAGAGGTATATTTATAGAGAAGTCTCTATTTCAGATTGTACGTGACACTGTATATAAATTGATAGCTCTGGACATGAAATATTTGTAAAATGATAGCTCTGGACATGAAGTAGCCACTTTAACATTTTTAAGTCTTCTGGTACTTTATTGATTTAGTCTTTTTGTATATAAACAGCCCCCCCTTTTTTTCTCATAAAACTCGACAGTTTTTAGGGGTTAAATTTTAGACCCTATGCAGAATGAAGCTACATTCACTTTAATATTTTGAAACCATTATGAACTTTTATTGGTAAAATGAAGAGCAGAAAAGTGCTATTTTAAAAATACTATCATGCATAGATGAGTAGAACATCTGCTGATGTTCTTTGACGCATTTGCATCTTTAAATCTATTTTTGAAAACCAAAAACATTTTCTTTTCTCTTTAATAATTTATGTTTACTTACCCTCTGTGGACCTCAGAATTTTAGAAACATCATTTCAACATTTTTATTTTACTACGTTAGCTAATTCTTAGAAATACTGCTTATATAAATCAATATTTCAATAGCCTCATTCTGTATATGACATTAAGGTAAGCATTGAAAAATTATTTAGACAATCACACAATTTATTTTCCCATAACCTTCAGGATGGCTGTTTATGCTGATTTGGCTAAATCAAACATTTTTTTATACTGGTGTGACTGATCATTATGTCTAAGTATACATTCTAATGTTATGATCATTTTGAAATAAATTCCTAAGAACTAATCAAAGAAGAAAAATCTTAACTCATAAATTTCCATTTTCATTAATAATTGTCAATAAATGTAAAAATAATTTGGTTAGTGAAGGCTTTAAGTAAGTCCAAAAATTATAGACAGAATTTGGGTTTTTCAGTTGAAATCTCAAATCATCCATATGTAATGGTTTCCTTTAAGTGCTAGCTCAGTATTAAAATAAATCAAATTTATCTTTTGAAAAAAATGTAGCATTCTATTATCTTTGTTTCTATGTGTCATTTTTATATAATAATAACTAAACCGTATCTCTATGCACAATTCTTGTATACACATTCTGTTCAAAAGAAAAATAAAAGGTGTGAGATTTAATTCCTTAAAATAACCTGTTTCATTGTTGTTATAAATAATTTATTTGGATTTTTTTACGTATCAGTCAGTTTTTTTGATATCCTATGGAATGAGCTTTATATATATAACCTTCTAAAAATTAGGAAAAGGAAATTAATTTAATTTTTTTGAACAAAACATTACGTTGAACTGCATTGATTTTACAGAGCACAGTAGCCACACTCCCCAAAGGCCAGACCTTTCTTCTGAGGGCCTCTGGGCACCTTTCAGTTAGCAGCCTAGAGAGGTAACCATTTGAACCACCTGGGGATTCCACCTTTAATCTGCCCCATATTAAATTACTTGCAGTTTTCCAAGTTCTTCCAGCTTTTCCCAAACTCTTCCTTTTGTCTTGAATATACTTTGTTTATTTTTCTATGGCAAACTGCCATTAGTCATTTTAGAGTAGACATTTAAGACCAGGTGGTGATGCAGTTGTTAAGTGCTCAGCTGCTAACCGAGAGGTCAGTGGTTTGAACCTACTAGCCGCTCTGCAGAATAAAGATGTGGCTGTCTGTTTCCGTAAAGATTACAGCCTAGGAAACTCTATGGGGCAGTTGTGCTCTTCCTATAGGGTCACATGAGTCAGAATTGATTTGACAGCAACAGTAACAGGTATCAACTTTCCAGAAAACTTTTCCTGATCAATAGATATAATGGGTTTGGGCACAGAGCACAGCTTTTTTAGGCAAGGTTGGATAGGTTTTTATTTTCTATTGCAACAAAACAATGCAACCTGTATATCTTTTTTTTTTTTTTTTTTGCTTGGCTGATTTCGGATACTGTCGTCATTCTGAAAACACCCCCCTTGAGAAAGTAGGGAAAGTATTTTGCCCATTTCAATCCACATCGTGCATTAAACCTAGATGCCTATTGTCTGTGAATTTACACCTTGTCCGTGGAGTCTATTTCGACTCATAGTAACCCCATGTGACAGAGTAGAACTGCCCATAGGATTTTTTAGGCTATAATCTTAAGGGAAGCAGATTGCCAGGTCCTTCTCCTGTGGAGCTGCTGGTTGAATTCAAACTGCCAACCTTTCGGTTAACAGTCGAGCTCTTAACCGTTGTGCCAGTAGGGCTCCTCCACTACACCTTAGCCCACTATTTTATTTGTATTTGTTGCTTTCTGTATGTGTCTCCCTATTATACTCTTAATATGTTAGGATAAGGACCTGCTGTTTTACATTTTTATCTCCAGGGTCTTCATCAGTGCCCGGTGGTATAACATCTATTTTTCTATTAATCTGTCTATTATCTAAATTAATAATAAAGTTTATTCTAGTTACCTATTTAGAAAAGCCCATCATAAAAAAGAACTATGTTTCAATGGTGGTAAATTAAATAATTATAGGTTTATTAGAAGTGACCTGTTTTATTTATTTGGACAAAATAGGTTCTTGGGCTCAATTCTTCTTCATTTTTCCTGAGGAACATGTTATTAGGTTGAACTATACAGCTATGTAACACGTTACTTAATTTATTATAATTAATCACAAAATATTTCTAGAATTTATCATTAAGTATGCATGAGGATATATAGAAATTCAGTTTATTTACACTATCACAATAATGCCTTTAACTTAGATTTCTTAACTTTTAATAATGAACACTTGTGAAATTATTCATTTATTCAACAAACATTTATTGAGAACCAAATATACAATGAATTGTGTTTGGCAACTTTGAAGGTGAGCAAGGCTGTATTAGTCACTGTTTCAGCCCCAAAGTGCTTTGCTATCTTTTTCTTCTCTTTCCCCCTTTTCCTTCTTCGTTACAGTATTCTTTAAAAGAACAAATGAAATTTCCTATCTTTATATAAATAGCCTGGAAGATATATGAACTTTATGGATAAAATTTAAGAATAGCTAATATCTTTCATATTAGATATTATATCTTTGATGATGATAGTGGTAAATTTAGTAATTATTATTATTATTATTATTATTGGAGCCCTGGTGGCACAGTGGTTAAGAGCTCAGCTACTAACCAAAAGGTTGTTAGTTTGAATCCACCAGCCGCTCCTTGGAAACCCTATAGAGCAGTTGTACTATGTCCTATGGGGTCGCTATGAGTAGGAATCAACTCGACGGCAATGGGGTGATCATTATTATTATTTTAAAGGTAAAAATAAGATGTCTTTTATAGCACATAGTTTGTGAAATATTAATCAAAACAAACAGCTCTTGATCATGATGTCTTTTTTAAATTTCCCAATTGTTTGATAAGAGTAGTTTAAGAATGTGTCATTTTTAAATGAAGATAGGTTAAAAATAATAATAGAAAATAAAGCTGAAATATGTGGACAGTATAAAACTAAAAAACTGTATATTGCATTCATTTCAGATGACCACAAGATGGTGTATTACATTTTTTATAGTGCTTAATGGTTTTAATTTTGATGCAAGTATATTAATGCATAAAAGATGCATTGTTTTTATTTATTCAAACTTTCACAGTAGTTATTTATTTTTCTGATTTTTCAAACTTAACTGCTTGTCCATTTGGAAAGATACTGTAAATATGTTTCTTGTCTGATTGTGTTTTAAAAAGTAACTACACATATGCATTTTCTGATTGATTTTCTTTGTGTCTTACCTCTTCCCTGATTTTAAACACATTGCTACTTAAGGGTTGCTCAGCAATCTGAGAAACTGTTGTATACCTGAGAAAATCCTCAGTGCATTTCGGATGTATGGGGATTCGTTTGAAGGATCCTGTTTGCCACCTTCCAAATCTTATTTATAACTGAAACAACCTGCTTAATGTATAAAATTGTGATTTATATAATAATATTTATGATACAATATTGCTTTTGTAGGCATAAATTATAAGTGAGCTTAATCATTTTACTATTTATGAAAGTATTGCATTACATAATTATGGTTTACTCATTTATGTTTAAAATTAGTCACCATTCCTTAAATATCTCAATGTGTCCTTTTTTAAAAGATACACATAATTCTGCTTTTTTTTGCTATCCAGCAACAATAGTAACGTAACTTAGTTTGATTTTTTTTGTCTGATTTGTATGCAGAAATATGTTCTTTCCCACGTAATTTAAAATGGATTTACCTGTACAAATAACTTTTATTAAACTGCTTGAATATGAATCTTTGACTTCTCAGGCGTGGAAAATCTTTTTTAAAAAATT